AAATATGTCCATTGGACGTCCATTCGATATACAATTTTGGATGTCTAGACGTCCAAAAATTAATTTTCTGGACTTCCGACATCCAATGGACGTCCAGTGAAGTATACAAATGGCACACTTTTGACCATTCAGAGGACGTCCAATTCTGGAATATATTTGGACGTCGAATACTGGACATTCAAAAAACGTCCAGGATTATATTTCCATTGAGACCAGATCCCAACTTTTTTACAGAACCGCAACTCACCACACACTATTTTATATTATTAATAATTTGTTTATTATTTTCGCAAATCGCTATACACCATTTATTTATTTTTTATTAAAAATCGCTTAACCTGAGCAGGAATCGAACTCACGACACATCCATTATCGTTTTACGCTTTTAATCGCTAGACGAGCTCGACCAAGGAACCACTTGAAAACTTTTTACTAGATACAGTTGTCAATTTTTAATGACCAGTTATATTAAAAAAAAGAAGTATATATAAATGGGTATTATCTGGTAGGCCTTTTAAATAATGACCTAAGATGGACGTCCTCTGGACGTCGAAATACTACTAAACTTAAAATTAAGTCCAAAAACAGACGTTCTCTGGGTATCGATATTCAGCTGTCAATTTAATTAGCATAAACGGACGAACACTGGATGCCCGGATATGGACGTCCGTCCTGACCCTCAAATAGATCTAAAGTGGATGTCCATTGGACTATGCGTGTGCTGTTAGGGCATATAGACGAATTTTTAGAAATAGTATTTATTTAAGTATGCATCAATATTTTCAAAATGATTCATTCAATAAATGTAAATATGAATGGGCAAAACATCTTTATATTGACATAATTGTAACTCACAATTTAGCCATAATAAAGAGATTTCGCCCACTTTGACCAATCCTAATTGAAACACGCGAATTTATTATATTTTTTTAAATATAATTTCAAAATAAAATAAACAAAATCTGCAGTTCATTGTTTATTAAATTTATTTAAAAGAAGAAAAACATATTTCACAAAATACAATACCTACATATGAAAAATAAAATGTCAAAAATGATTAAATAATTATACTTAATATTTATGCATGTGTTAAAATTCTTAGTTTCCTAATAACTTTTTTGGCACATTTTATATCTGTATTAGAATACCTAATTGTGTAAAAATCTTCATCTTATTACTGCACAAAACAAACACCAAAAAATATCACTTAACATTGCTCACGTACTAAACACAACTTGGACTGACTTTGACAGATAACATAATTTTGAGTGATACACAACTTATTTTCGCACATGCGCGTTACAAAACGGTACACTGAAAACACCAAGCTGTCGCTTCTCCTTGATCGGTATTCTCGGCAGGAACAAACCTATACGGCTAAAGAAATGATATCACTTTGGTTTCGTACACAACAAAAATCAATAAGGCTGTCCTATTGCTCTCATCTTCCCATCACCATGCCAGTGTAGACCTGATATTATTGCTGATTACAACAGCACCAAAGGTGGTGTCGACACGTTATACGAAAAATGTAGTAAGTTTAGTTGTAGTCATCGAACACGTCGCTGGCCTATGGCACTGATTTTCTGACTCTTTGACTTTAGCACAGTAAATGGTTAAATACTTTAAGAATCTTACAGAAATAATACTCATCTAAAACGGTTAAATTTATCAAAAAATTAGCATTTCATTGTGTGGAAGGCGTGGAAGCATATCTCAAAAGAAGACTGGCGAGATCGTTTCTAACCAGAAAACTAAAATTAAGCATATGTGAAATCTTGAGCGTTAAAGAATGTAACATGTGATGTTGGTTTTACTTACCGTGTTTTAGCCCAATTTTAATTAGGGCCGTGAGTAGCACTTAATAACCATGACAAAACTTTACTATAAGAAAGGGAAGGAGGGCGCTACCAAACTTACATAAACATATCATTTAAGGTGAATTATAATAGTTTGGAAAATATAATTAATATGACTCATGCTAAAACAAGAATGTATATGTTTATGCAGGCAAATAACAATTACAATCTACACAAGCAATGATTCATTTAAATTACTTCTTTATTTAATTTCAATGATAAAAAAATTAAACTTATCTCAGAGTAGGAATGGTGTTAGGTCTTCAATCTTTCTTTAAGGGTCGATGAAATAAGGACGGTCTCCTACACCGATGCGTTTTCTTCTAATCATAAATTAACATGTTTGTTACCATAACTTCATATATCTTCTAACCATAAATTAACATATTTGTAACCATAACTTCAACTATCTTCTCAGCGTATTTTTAAACCATATTTTCAACTATCTTCTCAGCGTATTTTTAAACCATATTTTTAACTATCTTCTCAGCGTATTTTTAAACCATCCAAAGGATGACTTATCTTAAAGATTGAGACCTTTTTGAAGTTTACGTAATAAGGAAAAATAAGGAATAAGGAGGTAAGATGTTTCTGAACACAGAAAGAATAAAAAATGAATCTTTACAGAAATTAATGACACGTTCTAAAACATCTAACCTCACATTTTTAACAACTAAATAAATCCCGATCCATTTCGTTAATCTTTGTAGAAATCTTGTAAATATTAATCTTTTACTCACCATAAAATACTGATGGTTATCACCACTAATAAAAATACCACATACTGTTTAAGATTAATTAAATATTAGCAGATTTAATAATCTCGACTGCCTCGTTCTGAGGTATTGTTGTAAAAAGACTTCTACAAGTAATACCTGTCGAAAGTCAAATTCACTTTCGATCCGAACATACAACTTATAAAACCAAAAATAACTATATAAAATATTTGTAGCGACAGAATGAAACTAACGGTCCTAATAAAGATGGGACAATCATTTTAAAAATATAGTTATAAAATATTAAAATAACAGTACTAGAAGAGTAACCGTTACAAGAAGTAAACCAACCCTTAGAAATGCGGGTTAAAAAATTAAAAAAAAAAGAATAGATTGCTCACTTTACCATTACAAGAAGAAGAACGGCCTATGTTTGCTACCATTACCAAAGGCCAATATGTTTGGAGTGTGCTAAAAAAATGTGCGGGGGTGCGCCGAAAAAGCCCAAGTTTGGGCTTTGTAATTTTTGTATACGTTTGCATATTTTTAGTTTTTTTTTGCTGAGTATATCATCTTTTGTCTTTTATTCTAAAATATGTGTTTTTTTAATTCTCCTATTGTTTTTTGTTCTATGTCAACCACAAATACATACGTCAAAAAAAATAAATAGAGCTTCCATTTCAAATTTTTGGAATATATTAGCAAAAATGAGCATTAGATTGTGTTTTACCTATAGTTTTAATTTTAATGAACCATTCCATGACAAAAAATAGTTTGTTTTAAAAACTTAACTCACGGGACTCTCATAACAACAAGATTTTAATAGAAACAATGTCATTGTAAGGAATATTTCATCTCTACTGATAACAAACGAGCACTACTCTTCCTGGACAGATGACACATTTTCTCTAGAATGATACCAAGCTTTGGTTAAAGCATCCATCAACAATGTGGTCACCTTAAGATGAATCAAAGGCCATGTGAAGGCCTACCTGCCGATTTAAAACTTACTTGGACGGAGAAAAGTTCCAAAGTTTTACATACAAGTCAAGTGTGTAATAAAAACCACGTGAATATGCGTTTTAACGACTTAGACAAATGTTTTAACGAATTAAAAGATAAATGTGACAAAACTATTACTTGCAGGTATATAGCATTGAAAATATTGACTAAAAATTTGAAGAACACTTGAAACGATGACTAAATTGCTTTGGTAAGTTTTGATTTATTTTATATATCTTAAGCTCCTTTTAAAAGGAATCCCCGTTATGAGCTTGGCTACGAGCCGCTACTGATACACATCAGAAATGTATAATATTTCGTAGCAATTCGAGTAACAATGCAGGAACCTTAAGGCGATTTTAAATCAGATACTATGTCTTGAATATGATTGACTACACTAATATAAATCAAAAACAATGACGTCATATTGAATATTGTCTTGAAATAGTCAAGTTTAACATGACTACAGTAAAAACGTGGTCATCACAAGTATGAAATGTCAAATGAAATGACAAATGTAAAACTTTTACTTTTTAATTATTAAATCATTGTTTGGTTGTGTTATTTGTAAAATAGAAAGAAATATTTACGAAAGGGAAAAGTGGGACAATGGTGACGATAGGGTATCAGGTTAAAAAACAGGTATTTTTATAAAATAAGCTCCTTTTTTTGTAGAGATCTAAAAAAAGGTCCTCCGCTTATATTTATTTACATCAGATTCCTTTTTCTGAGCTTCTCAAAAACAGGTCAAACATTGTCAAAAATATCATTATATATAACTTTGAATTTAAAAAACGTAGCAATAAGGTAAAATGCGGAGCATTTTTGTACTTTGGCGTAACGCGTGCCAGCAAGTTACAAAGCGGGACCATTACGCCTAAAGCGCGACGTCTGGCAACCCTGGCTGAGTACCTAGATATGGACGCATTTAAGGTTTTTGCAAATGAAAAGAATTTATTTTCAAGGTAGGATTTATTAATGAACATGGCTAAAGTTTTGATAAAAAATTAGAGGCCAAAGTAACTATAATACCAATTTTCTCTTCATCCATGATCAGTAAACAAAACAAATATTTATTTTTTATCCCTACAAATTCAAAAACAAATCCTACTACTATTACATAACACACAAACAAAAATTCATGATACCTGCCAATGTTATACCCATTGTGAAGTTAGTGTCAATATAAACCAAACATTTTTAAATCAGATTATTAGAACGTCATTATAATGACGTAAGAACCTTGACCACACTTGACTTGGTCACATTTATAGTAACTGATTTAAAATCGCCTTTAATTATCAATTGGTTGGTATTTCAGGTTGAAACTGGCAACATGCGCTATGTGTAATGCGATGTGAAATGTTACATGTCTATTTTATTAAATTCTACAGTTTGTACATACCATTATCGCCCTACTTACCAGTTAATTTCAGTTTTTGATCAGACCAGTGAGTATTACTAGTTCTTGTGTTAGCATCGCATTTATATCTGATCAGTAAGGTGCTGATAGAAATATTTTCTTCGGTACATTTATTGCTAGTCAATATGTGAAGCCCATTTAAATGTTCATCGGGAGTGACTAGATTAGCATTAGCTCCGTTTTCCAGGAACGTCTTTACAATATTAAAATTTTCTGTATAGATGCTGATTAAAAACGTAGGCAACGGCGAATCTCCGTAATTCGTTTTCGCTCCAAAATCAATGAGCGTTTTAATGCAATTCTCGATCAAAGCTAAAGACAATTTCACCTGCTCGCTTTGTAATTTAACCAACTCTTCGCAAGATAAGGCTTCTTTTGGTTCCTCTGGTAGATAATTAGGAAATTTTGTGGAAAAAATACAGAATACTGCTTTCAAACTGGCTTGAGATGATATTTTTGGTACTGTTCTTTTACCTGAAATAAAATGCGACAAATATACAGTGTGTTTCCGGGTAGGTGAAACAACTCTTGACAAAATACAAAAATCTCGATTAATATTTTCATTTTTGACAAGTGTAGTTTTTGGTTAAGTTAGAAAATCTTCTCTTTCTTCTTATTTCAAATTTGTTTCTACATTTAGGAGATCACATTTTTGAAAATAGATTTGATAAAGTTGATATTAAAACATTATTTCAATATTCGCATTTATTTTGGGACTACAAAAAATTTGGATATTTCAAGAAAAATATAACAGAAAGTATAAATACAAAAGTAGTATTATTTAAAAACGAATATTTTCTTTGTTAAATAAAAACGAAGTTTTTTTAACGCCTAGCACTAACGTAGGTTTATTGTTGTATAATTCTACGTGTTATCAACAGACTTTTAGTAGCGTGTAACAGCAACGTTGCCAGACGAGATCTAGGACTACAGTCTTTCTCTTTCTTTTGAGGACAAAACAAATGATACGTTATGTATGAAATGCTTCATCTGTTGCTTTTTTTTTATCCAAGTTTATTACTAAATGGAGAAATTTACGTAGTAGAAAACAATAAATGACAATTCCAATATCGGAACATGCTTTTTTGATCTAAAAAAGGAGTTAATAGTTTTTAATAAATCCATCGAGCAATTATATGTGTAAGCTTTTCCTAACAAAACTGTCAATTTTATCAATAGAAAAATCTTAAGCATCAAACTGTACCCAGCTAGCACAAAAACATCCCATCTACGTTAATAAGCTGCAATTTTAGGCTCTTTAAGCTCGCATGCAATGTACTGTAAATGTAACCCTTATCTCCCTGCAACCACCGAATGTCCGCAACGGCAAGACTTTTATAGCACATCTCACAGAAGTTACAAAGTGAAGTTCGAAAAACATCACACTAGCACTTTTACGGTACTTACCCCGAAAGTTGCTCTGAAACGTTCTATTGATGTTATAATGTGAATTAGATCTACAGCATTATACAGTGTGTCCACGGATGGGCTTAACTATACTTGTGAAAATATTTTAAATTAAAAAAGTAATTCTTCATAATTTCTTGCTTGTTAAATAAATTCGATTCACATTGAGAAATTATGAAAAATAACTTTTTCTTTAATTTAAAATAAATATTTTTACAAGTATAATTAAGTCCATCCGTGGACACACATTATGTAATGTAATACAGAGAGGCTGAAATTGAGGCTATAGTAAAATCTCAATCGAGACATGAAAATTTCAAATAAAACAAAATATTTATATAAATTTATTATTGAAATGTTCTTGAAATCAAGTACCAATAGCACAAAAGTAGAGGTAGGTGTAGGCGTGTTCTTTTATTCAGTGCTGTATCCAGCGCTTGCAGCAAACCGTTCGTAAATTAAGTGATGGAAAGACGATTGTATGTGTCAATCATTCTTTTTTCCAGCGGTGAGTTCACCAATGAGTCAAGGCATCCATCGGCTTTAAAAGCCGATGGATATGTGATAGACGAATGGTGAGGATAATCAATCATTTAAGTTAACCTAAAATATAAGAGTTCAAATATAAAACGACTGCAGAATAGATAAATTACATCAATCACTTATGGAACAATTATTGAATAAAAGAACACACCTTATATCACAAACACAAGTACACATGTGGGATAGAAGAAGCTACCTAGAAAGCACTGAACGATTGGACAAAATTAGCTAAATAGTATAATAAGGTACCAATATTGCAAAGGTTCACTAAAACCTTAAATGGTGAACGATGATAAAGCTAGATTGGTGAAATATAATAAACGAATACAACAATGACTAGGTACATATTATTATATTAGATTACTAGAGGATAGCTAAGTTCGCTGATTTCTTACCTAAGACGCAGAGATATATCTTTTTTAAATTAAGCCTTTTAACTTTTTTTGCATAGATATTTATAAAGTGCTATAATGTAACCTAAATATGACAATTTATTAGAAGAGCATAAATTATATTTTTATATAAAAAGATTTTACTTCTCAATACATTGAATAAAAAAGAAATTGATAACTTGTTTACCTATTATTAATTAAAGGAAATTATATAGAAATTAAAAAATATGCCTTACTTTGTTGTTTTAAATAAAACAACCAATGTTAGTGTATTGAAATTTGTTTGAATTTTACAAATTTTATGCTTGATTTCCAAAGTAGATATATCGATGGCTCAATCAAAAAACGCCACAAGTCAAAAAACAAAGCAATTACATTTTTGGTTCAATGGATGCAAAATATCATTACGGTTTTACTTTAAATACCACCACAAACAAAAATATCCTTAAAGATAAATCATTTAAAATGTAACCACAAACTGTGTCTAAAACTGCCTCAATTCGATTTATTTTCTTCAAAAACACCCAAATTTTTTACAACTATGCAACAACTCACTTTTATAATCGTAATCATTTTATTTAACAGCAAAATATCGAAGCTTTTAAATAAAATATAAAGAGTATGTCAAAAACAAAATAATGATAATAGAGACTTACAAAATTTCAAAATGAAATTTCTCGAAATAATAGTATTTTAGTTGTGGCAGTATTCGATTGAGCCATCAATATGTAGATTTTATAAAAAACAACTGGTGTTTTTTAGCAAGATATTCTATTATACTCGAGAGTATCATCTATGATTTCTCTCAACTTTTCTGCTGGGTTTTCACTTGAACTGATGGTTGCATTTCCAGGCAATCTAAAAAATAATATTTTTAAAATGTATTTTTAGTTCGATAAAGTATAATTACCTTTTATAAGTATTTGATGTAAAATGTTGCCGGACATTCGGTTAAATGTTTATCTTTTGGTTTTCAACGATTGATCTGCAATTCTTTGTTTTTATTGTAGTTTTTTTTTATTTGGTGTCATCCGCATCGACTGCTAAAGACATACTTAATGAATGAAATAATAAATTTACATCAGGCATTGTTTTCTGAAACAAAGACAATGGTTTAGAAAATAGTTATCTATTTTATAGAGGACCCTTACCAAATCTATTCGAATGTATAAATAATAATTATTTATAAAATAAATTCTGGATGTCGAAAAATAAACCATTAAAAAAGACAATTGACAAGAAAAACTGACAAGTGACAATTGACATAAAACTAAACGTTCTGAATTCAGATTTGTAATGTTTACGGTAGGTTAACTAGGTAAATAACAAATGGAAGTTTTGCGAGGTTTTGATTTCCCTCAACAACTTCTCATGAACGTTGCATTTACGTTGTACAGTAATGTTATTACGTTCCCTTAATGCAACATCGCCGAAAGGCTTGGCAACGTTATGTGCTAGCTGGGTACTGATGGTTGACCATCGCTTGTCCACAAATTTAATCTACACTCAAAATGCATTTCTGCAATATGTTCTAAGTCGATCCTAACTACAATTTGTACATTACCCACTGAAAAAGTTGAAGCTTTAGTGCCGGTTCCGGTGACAGATAAGAACGATCTACTTGGAAACCAACTTTTCAGTTCCTGTTGATCTTCTATGGAAACAACAGTATCTGGAATGAAAGCGCATTCCCAATTTATTATATAATGCTTCCGTGCCAAATAATTTAACAATGTTAAGCTTAATGGCGTTAAACCATCATCATTTATTTGATTTAGATTTGCTCCAAATTGAACCAGCACTCTAATTACTTCCAGTTTGTTGTTAACGACAGCATAGAACAGTCCACTATTTCCTTTCGCGTCAGTAACATTGACGTTAACTTTGTGTTCACGAAAGTATTTTATAACTTTTATTGGTGTTCCTGTGTTACATTCCTTAAAAAACTCATAGCATTTCGTTTCTTGTTGTCCTAAAAACAAATTAAATTATGTAGATTATGCAATTTGATAGGAAGAATACTCACCAGGTTTAGTAAAACCTTGCCTATGTCCAGACAATATAGCAGGAACTCGAAAATTGACCATATGTTCGGTGTTTCTATGGAGAAAACTATGTTTCAACATATCAACAATTAACGGTTCATTATTCCAGGCCAAAATTTCTGATACTACAATTTTCTGCGTACGAATGGTTTTCCTACACTTCATGGTACGTAATATTTTTTCAATTTCTAAATTTAAATGTTTGTGAATTTGTTCGTAGAAAAATTCTTCTTTCTTTAAGACTTTTAATTTATCTTCCAGTTCGGCCACGTCCTCGATTTCCATTTCTTCCAGGCATACGCATTCTTGATCTATGTATTTTTTTATCGATCCACTTTCGTCTGATGCATGTTCTGTATCGACTACCTCGGGCGCGTTCATAATATGACTAGATGGGAGTGTAGTTAATATACTATATGAAGAGGTTTGATTAGTGGGTATTGCACATACACTATGTATTTCTGAAACAAAAATATTATAAACTTTATATATTAAGCGCTGCATCGCCCGCAATTTTATTTGTTGCCAGATGCCTGATCGATAATTAACTAATCGAAATGAAAAGGTGCATGGGGTAAAAGATATCTGTTTTTGAAATTTTAGTTTTTTCTAGTTTTACAGACTTGTATTTTGTGTTGTGAATTAAGGTTTATCTAAAATGTATTTTTTACTTTAGATTTATTAAAACATTAAAAGCCAAAAATCAATTTATATTTGAATATATGAACATTATTGTTAATTGAAGTAAATTCAAACATTTTGATAAGCACTAATATTATTATTTATATTAATTTTTTTAAAGTATACAGGATGTCAGAAAAAAATAGTAAATTGTCTGGATACTAAAATTTGCAAAAAGAGAGGAAGAACTGGAAAACCATATCAATTTTTTTTTGAAAATCCGAGTCTACTTTGCCAAATATTAATAACAACAATATTACATCTGAATCCCAATATTCTGAACCTGTACTTGAAATAAGTATCAGCAGCAGACAAGAAACTGATCTAGAAAGCCATCCATCAACATCTTCAAGTTCCGCTGATAATGAGACATAGACCCAACAACAATTTCATTCTCCTCCCACTCTTTAAGACGTAGCCGTCTGCTGTTGTGCTCTCGTGTATTCTCCCATCATTTAGTTCTGCTTGAGACGTTAGTGTGTGCATGATAGTTATTAATAAACTTTTCTAAATATTCTAGTGATCGAGTCTCATTGGCCCAGTTGAAGCATCAACGTACCTTTTTTGGTGTAAGACAGTATCAGGTAAATAGGCAATACCGAGTTTTTTTAACCTGATAATTTATTTATTTAACTAACGAAATTCACACATTTTTATGGTATTCACTTTTTATTTTCAGTTAAAATGGCAAAACATACACTAACCGACGAAGATATCAATGCAATATTTGAGACTGAAGACTTTTGGAATGACGGAAACGATGTCGAAAAACCAAAATACTTCAGCAAGTTGTACTGATGATAATAGTTTACTAAATAATAAAAATATCCCTAGTACTTATTCAAAAATTGATACCCAAAAAGAATTATTGAAACTGCCGACGAAAGTGATCAAGATGAGAGCGATGTCGAAATTTTTAGCGACCAGGATTCCTGTAAAGAGGAGGAATGGCAACCATCTGCAGATGAGGATTTGTTATCAGAGGATGAGGTATATGAAAAAGAGGAAAGAAAAAAAGACAAATAAAGATGACAGAAGATAAAGAGGATAAAAGCAGCGCCACCAACTACCTTTACGGAAAAAAAAATGAAGTGGTCCAAGATCCCCCAAAACTAGTACCACAACAAGGGAAAATATTGTAACTGTTTTGCCAGGACTAAAAGGGCCAGCTATCCTCCTATCCTAAGACAACCTTAGATGCGTGGAAGTTTTTGATTAATTCTGAAATCATTGAAAAAATTGTAATACAATCAACAAGTTCAAAAGTGTGTTTTTGGGACATACTATTACGAAAATTATGTTCAATAGCTCATTCGATTCGGAATAATGTCTAGATCAATGTGTGAAGAAAAATTTTGCAATGCATAAAAAATTGCAAAAGTTATAAACAATTAAACACCTCAAAAACATGGTGTTTGGTTTCTCGCCTATAGTTTGTAAACTATAAATATTTTTGGATTTTTCAAAAAAGATCCTTAAAGAGGAGGAAATTTGCTATAAATAAGTTCCGACTCTCGGAACTTTACCTTCATTATTTATAATTTTAATTTAACGCTCAAAGTAGCCTTCCGCGCGCCATTTTTAGGTTGCGCGCACGGCGTCGAAACCGAATACGTCACATAAAATAATTTTCTAAAATTTAAAAAAATTACGGTGTCAAAAAAGTTTAAAAAATGTTAATACTTTGTTTATAATATTTTTTTTTTAAGTTTACAAAAACAGAAAAGTCACAGTGGTGCTATAAAAATTTTTTTTTTCAAATTATTATAATACTACTGTTTTAATGTCGAGAAAAGACATTTATTAATTAAAAAAAAATTTTCCTTCATTTGTTTATAAATTTTTTATAAACAAATGGAGTATTTCAATGTTTTTAAATATTTTTTTTTACAATTTTCTAGAGAATTGCCAATTATGATTTTTAAAAAAATTTCAGTCTATTTTTTTATAAACTATTATAATTTTTTTACTAAATCTTTTACGACTTTTCTTTCAATTATTTATAGAAATTCTTGCATGTTTTTCAGAGGAAAAATAAATTTTAATATTTTTGATTGAAGATAGCCAGAGAATAGTGAGTAAATAGCTAGAAGTAAAAAAAAATTCCAAAGATTTAGTAAAAAAATTATAATAGTTTATAAAAAAATTGACTGAAAATTTAATAAACAATGCAAATGTTATATAATTAATAGCTTTTCGTCATACTGTACTATTATCTTACCATAATATGAGCGAAATTGGTATCGAAAAGGTGCATTTAACGGCCGCCGGCCGTTAAATAAAATAACGGACGCGCACCACCTACAACAATCACAACAATCTAAAGTTGCCTAGCAACTACATCAATATACTATACAAACATTGTAAGTTTGACAGTACTGTTTCTTGTTGAGTGATTATAGAGCGGAAAAGATCAAAGATGGAAGAAATTTTCGAAAACGATATTCCCTCCGATGTACTGGAAGAAGCAGCTGCGGCAACCAAAAATTTATTTCCGAGTACAACCCAACAAAGATATCAGCAGGAATACGACAACTTCGTGAAGTGGCGTCAGAATAAAAACATACATAGTGTAAGTGAAGAAGTACTGCTAGCTTATGCAAAAGGAACGTCTGAAACGTATTCTCCTACATCACTGTGGACAAAAATATCAATGCTGAAACTTGCGTTAAGAATACATGAAAACATTGACATATCAAGGTAAATTACTATACTATCCGCCAACATTGAACTAACTATATACTCATCGAAATTATGTTTGTTTGTAGATTCGGTAAACTATTCTTGTTCCTGAGGCGCAAAAATGAAGGTTATAACCCAAAGAAAGCCAAGGTTCTATCGGAAAATGATATACTTAAATTTTTGCTGGATGCGGATGATAATACCTGGCTACTGGAAAAGGTTGTGTTAGTGCTCGGTATTCTAGGAGCTTGCAGGAGAAGTGAACTTACGTCTCTCACCATTAACAGTTTCGAAGATAAAGAGAAAAACATCCTCGTATCACTAAAAAATACTAAGAATAAAAAAGACAGACATTTTCTTATCCCAAAAACAGGACTTCCATTTGATGTATATGGTTTATACAAGAAATACAGTAATATGCGTCCTCCTAGTTTCGCCTCGGATCACAAACTTCAGCCCGGCCGTTATTTGCTATTTATCGGCCTTATAACGTTAATAACTATAACAGAATTGCCTTAAAGTTCAATAACCGAATTTGCATTATTTACTGAGCTACAAGCCGCAAAAGTTCGAATAACTTAAAAAGAAAAATCAATTTTTATAAACAAATATAAAAAACAACAAATTGAAAATAGGTACGGAATTGACAAATGACTTATCTGAGAGATAATTTCATTGTCTACAAAAATGACTTGAATGTTTATTGTCGTACTATAGGTATTCTCTGTATCAAAATAACTATATAATTAAAATTTCTTTTTTAAAATTCTTTTATTAAAAAGGTCAAGAACATGTTACTTCAAAAAATGTAAAAATAATAATAATAATTTGTTGATGTTTTTTGTCTCTTGCTGTTTTGCTCTTTCTTTTTTCTTTCCACAGCTATCTACCACACACTCCATTGTTTTTCCACCTACTACACCACAAATCAAAAACAGATGTGACTTCCAATGTCATCAACTTTGAAGTTCTATGACATTGGCAGGAAACAGGATTGAGTCTCATGCCACCACGAAACATTCTAAAGTGCCATTCACATAACAAAAATAAAACGTCGAAATGACAAAGTGGAGATGACTGGTTTAAGGTTATAACATTTATCTATCAACGTAATTATGACAGAGAGAAGAGTAATATGTAGTACGAAGCACTACAATACTTCCCCTCTTTAAAAAAAAATAACATATAAATTATGAAACAACTAAAAATAATGAACTATTTAATTTAATGCAAATGTAACTTTCTTAACTTCTTTTATAGATTCATTATTATCCGATAATAAAAATGCAGGTTTTAACTGATCAATATTGATAACTAATTCGTTATTATTTTTTAAAATTGTAAAAAGTTTATCAGATCTACGAATAACTTTAAAAGGACCTTCGTAGCAAGGTTTTAAAGCGGCTTTAATGCCTTGAACTTTTAAGAAAACGTGTTCTGCGTTTTCTAATTCTGGAGAAACGAATGTTTTCCTTATACCGTGTTCCTGAACTGGAGCTGGTCTTAATTTGTTGAAATTTTCTCTCAAATTAATTAATATTGAATGAGTATCTATCTCTTCATTTGAAGACGTGAAAAATTCACCAGGTAAACGTAAAGTTTGGCCGTATACCAATTCTGCAGAAGAACATTGTAAGTCCTCTTTTATAGCAGATCTTAGCCCTAATAATATTAAAGGTAATTCATCATACCAATTATTCGAAATTAATTTTGTAGATAACGATGCCTTTAGTGTTCTATGAAAACGTTCTATCATCCCATTGGCTTGAGGATGGTAAGTAGTTGTATGGATACTTTGAAATCCTAATCTTTTACTAAAATCTTTGAACATACTAGATTCAAATTGACTGCCTTGGTCATGAGTAATATACACTGGAACACCAAAGCGTGTTATATACTGATTTAATAATACTTTGATTACTGATTCTGAACTGATGTTCTTAAGTGGATAAACTTCTACCCATCTAGTACATCTATCAATAACAGTAAATAAATAATTATGACCTCTTGAAGGTTTCAAAGGACCCACTATGTCTACGTGGATATGTTGGAATCTTCCTTCTGGAATTTTAAAATTTCCTAGAGGTGATTTTGTGTG